GCTATATACAGCCACTCCACTATAATTTGTAGTGTTCCACTTGCTATATGCTACTCCACTATAATTTGTGGTGTAGTGTTCCACTTATGTGCAAGCAACGTCCCACATACATACTGCGGTCAGCTATTGTTGAATAAAAATGCTCTCGGTGGAAGCAGGGGCAATTCTCAATATACCAGTAGTATTTGCTGTGACAAAATGCAATGAGACATGTAATTGGCAAATCAAACAGTAGCATCAATGTGAATCACCCCTGAGGGTGAATGGCAAACAGTTAAAGCATATGTCAGAATAACTGGCATGTCAAAAAAAGACACTAACATTAAGAGCAAGCTAGGATAGGCCAGATTCAAAAATGTCTAAGCATGTCCAATCACGGAAGGTACTAAATTAGTAACTTCCATGGTCCAAGTTATCACATTTTAAACAAACAAGATGGCCGCCAGTCTGCCATATTTGATCGAATTGCAAATTGAATTGACATATACCCATTTATGACATGCTAAATATCAATGAAAATGATACATGGGTGACAGAGATGTAGTAATATGGCCAAAAATAAAAATAGCCTTTATTCGGCCATCTTTTATCTGATTATGAAACAAACTGACATGTATGATGTATGTGTCAAATACACATGAAAAACGTACATAAATCTTGGAAATATAGTTGTAAGGCCAAAAAGTCAGATGGCTGTCAATGGGCCATCCTTGATTCGATTTTGAAACAAATGTCATGGACATGTAAAGTATGTGCCAAAACTGACAAAGCATGTCCAAGATAAGTACCACATTTAAAAAAACGAGATGGCTGCCAGTCGGCCATTTTGAATCGAATCGCTAAACATATGACCCACATAAAGTACTTGGCATATGCAAAGAATAAACAAAATTGGTCCAAAAGATTCCGAAATATGACTGGATGGACAGAGGACATATATCCTAACATGTATAATCTATGTACCAAATTTGAATGAAAACTGACAAAGCATGTCCAAAATACAACATTTTTAAAAACAAGATGGCTGCCAGTCGGCCATTGTGAATCAAATCACTAAATCACTGCATGTGCACATGTCCCACATAAAGTACTAGACACATGCAAAGAATGAACGGAATCTGTCTGAAGGATTCTGAAATACTTACAAGTCCCCGTTTTCAGACTTCGTCCGAATGGGGACTAATAAAGGACCTGTGTGAATGGCCAAGTACACTAGATTTCAGTGTTGAAAGAGCTCAATTACGTTACAGAATACAAGGGATGTCCAGCATCCACAATGGATATACAATACATATAAAATTGAATACGAGGTTTATGGCGATATGACGATGCACAACTGTATTTATTTGACAATTGGTAAACTCATTAAATTACACGAATAATAGAAAACAAAAATATACTTTTAAGACGAGGATATTTTGTTGATATTCCCACAATGCACTAACAATTCAATGGTTGTCAGTAAACACAAGGGTCACTAATACAATCTTGTAATATAACAATATAGACGCGTTTTCAACAATTTTGATCTTGGTGCAACATATTGTGGATATCGCTACCAGTACTTCTAATTTTGATCATGTTATATTTATTCAATTAATAAAATGATTTAAAATTTACAATATATTTTTAGGTGGAGTTTCCTTAAGAAAATTAAATTAATATTGATTGCAAACTTATTTACTCTGCACGTCAGTAGTGTTACTTAGAACACTGTTGCATTTATTAGTCACTTCGCAGCTTAGTCACTTTGTGGTTCAGTGATGACTCAAATGAAAAATTTCATATTTAATTACCGGTAGCATTTCTCTGGATTTGTTTCCATTAAGTTTCGGTAGCACGTCAAAATATTGTTAAGGTAAGCTCAGTAGAAATGAAGTCATAACAAGTGTTCATCCAATAATAAACAAGTTACAGTTCTACTCAATTCACTACTGGTTCAAGAATAAATACTCAATGTCTACAGAAAAAGCACATTTTCGTTTATTAAAAACAAATACAATTCTTGCTAAAAATGGCAAATAAACAGCCGTCTTATTCAGAATCTGAAAATTCATACATATTAATCACTGTAAGAACATTCTTTTATTCAACTGCACTTACAACAGTGTTATAATTTATGTAGGCCTACAGTCTCAATTTAATACTTGTTGCAAGTCACTATTAAACAATTTATGCATATTCTTTCATGAACTCCAACAAATTTATTGGAAGCTGTCATACATAAAATGATACAATAAATTACTTTTTCAAAACATCAATGGATTTGTGAAATAAGTTTAGTTCGTGATTCAGGAGTTTTCAGTATTCCGGTTAGGTTATTGATCCATATATGGTTACCACTCACATCTTTGCATTGTTAATGTGATAACTCTGCTTCCACTTAAAGTTAAATAGTTAATTGCGGCACCTGATATTACATCATTTTTTGTTTTGCCAGCAAAACTTGATGTTCATTTGGAATAATTCTAATTATGCTTGCCACGAGACATTTTCAAGCATTGAACCTATAACACTGCTATTCACTACACTGCTTCAATTCTCAACACACTTTGTAATAATTCACTGAAGTTGAACTTGCCAAGTACCAAGACAGTCAGAGAGGGATATTATTTGAAACATAGCTTAACTTTTACAACCTTGTCCATGGAGGACCTAGACTAAATATCAAATGTGTGGATGGATAACAAACAATGCAACACTTTTCCTCCCATGGCAAAGGAGAGTATCCGGAAAGAATGCAAGAACATTATCTAAGCATTTTTGCATGGAAAAAATAATTAATATCCATGTTTCTCAAATAATACTACACATACTGTATTAATCTTAATGTTCCTTATAGAATAACACAACATGAATTGTATAAAACTGCCTAAAAAATAATAGTACAGTATAATATCTGAGCAAAATTAAGCAAGCAAAATACAATGTGTTCAAGTAATACTACATACACTTTATTACTGATAAGACAGCATGAATTGTTCAAAAAAGAAAAGTTCCCAATGGTGCAGTAATATTTTTATGCAAAATAAAATACTAGCCAGATTTGAAAATTTTGATTTTTACACTAATAACATTGGTTTACCACAGTTATCTAATTGACAGATCTTGGAGAGCATATTACTAACATCGGGTTCTATTTATCAGCATTATGGTTTCAATGTGTTCATTTATTTCTACGTCTAAAACTAAAACTACACATGTTGAAAATTGCACTAAAAACTGTTGTAACCACAAAAAGAAAGTCTACAACGACAACAAGTTTACCCTCATATACAATTTCATTTACAATAATACAGACAAGGTAAAAACACATTGGATGACTTAACAGGTTCATACATTCATCTACCTACAATATCAATACATTCCAGTGCTTAAAAAACTTCAATTTAAAACACAGTACAGTTTATACAGTTGTATTCACGTATCAGGTTAAACAAATTATTTTTAAGAAAAAAACTACAATTTGAGCCTACTTGTACCAAAATGTATTAAACTTTAGCCGACTAAAATTGTTTTTTAACAGGAAAAATATTTTGGGGTAGATATTTCAATTTTAGGTTGATGTTGATATAGATTTTGATTCAAGTCGATAACAGTTTAATTTAACCAAGGACACAATGTGTCCATTGCATGCAGCATTCTGCTAAGAAATGTGCAACACGTGATACCTACATGTATCAATTCTGCATTTGCAGTTTATTATTTACTGCTGTATCTGTGTAAGGCAGTCAAGCATTCCCCAGTCAGCATGTACAAGAAAGTGTCACACTACTGCATTTGCTATATTAGTAACATATGCAAATTACAGAAAGGTTTTTATATGGTCAGAATAAGTAACATTTTAAAGATTCGGTACATAACAAATGTAATTTCTGGTTTATATGTGCATCAAATGCACTTCTTATTGAGCAAATATGGTAATACAGTCCTGGGAGGACAAGAAGCAAATATGAAGGCAGAATTTTTAATTTATGATACAATAATTGTTTAAATACTAATGACAACCGCATATAAATATATATAAATAATAGCAGGAAGAGTCTTTGTTCAAAAATACTTTCAGGTCACAATTCAAAGTTCACAAAGGAAACCAGATTTGAATATTAAGTTACTGCTATTCATAGATACAACATTGGTTATGCGAGTCAAAATGGTTCCACAAATGTCAATGAGGTCAACCATTTTATATTTACCATAAACATTCAGATAACCACATATTAGCTCTGTTCTCACTTGAAAACTAGATAGATTTGAAACTGGGCATGCATGCTCTAGAACCTGCGTGGGAATATTTTGAGCAGAATCGGCCAACTTTTGCAAATACGGTAATTGAAATTACTGGTATGCAGGAACATTTTCAATTTTACAGATTTTCTAGCAAACCATGTATTATCTATCATAACTGATTTTGCCATCAAAAAATTATGGAGCCCGAGATGAATTATACTTTAATTTTGTGTGATAATTAGGTAAATTCACCGTGACATTCATAGATTGTACATAGTAATTTCAAATTTCTAGTATTGACATTTGTCAACTTCTGTTCTACTTTCTGTCAGGGAATATAACCATTGTTGGTGGAGTATGTTACTTCATCACTGCGGCAAATGAAGACACTATGCCAACTAGGTCTCCTTCCCGATATGAATCCCCACACAAACATGATCAAAGATTAACTCTTGATCCGGACAGTGAGAAAACAGCTAATCAGTTTGTACTTTGAAAAACTATTTCAGAAATTTACAAAAGTACAGAAAATACAATTCTACTTTATGATTAGTAAATACAATTACAAATTAAAAAAAAAATGGAAAATTTATAAAAGTACATTCTATTTACTAAATTTATTTTACTACAGAGGTGATGTAACACCTGAAAGAATGTCTAGTATTCCTACTTGGGAAACCAAGATTCAAGTGTTCAAATCACTACTATAAAGTGGCAAATTATTTGAGAAAAAAACAGCCACAGTACAACAAAAGACAAACATTATTCACTTAATAATTAGCTTCATTCCATGGCTGCAAATGTCTGAAATGATGTCGCTGATATTCTTCGGCAACGTTGAAACCTCGTTCACAAAACTTACAGATATAAGGCATCTTTGTTTTGTTCTTTTTCTGTGCATTCTTCAGTACCAAATTGTGGACCTCTGAGTAGGGAATTGTGAGAATTTTTTCTTCCTCCACTTCTTTCTTCTTCTTTCTTTTCTTTTTCTTGACTGTCCAAGGGCAATTCTGCTTTGCTCTGGGTCTTTTACTTGACTTTCTGTCAGTTTTCCCATCTTGAGGGGCACTTGAAGGCTCTGTTGTTGGGTTCAAATTACCAGCACTTTTATCAACACATGTTACATCAGCTGTGGAGTCAGAAAACAGTACGGAAGGTTCCTCAAGGATCTTTTGTTCTTGAGATGTCATTGTGGCTGGCCTGTTCAAAAGATTTATACACGGTTCAATCACACTCTCATTAGATTTGTTCTTCTGATGAACTACCTTCCTCCTTTTTTTTTTTCTCCCACTAGATAACCATGGACAGTTTTGTTTTCTTCTTCTTCTTCTTGGTGCCAGTCTTTTTGTACTAGATGTTTCAGATGCACTGGTCAGTCCACTATCAGACTGCCGGTTTGAAGTGTTACCTTCCTCATCACAATTTGAACTTTCTGCAAGAGTCTCTGAGGAGCTTTGCAGCGAATCTCCAATTAGCGCATGCCTGGTTTTCTTTGAACCTAAACCTACAGAAGGTGGAACAGGATCTGTCTTGGCAAATTTCCTCTTTATACAGAGTCTAGGAATCTGTTTTCTAACCATTGGAGAATCACCATCAGATAGTGTGCATTGAGTAAACTGTGGTGAACCGGCATGTTGGTCATTCATACCAATGTTATCAGTGGTCAAAGACAACATTATTTCAGGAGAACTTGAGAATCCACTGTCACAATGCCCATAATTAGCTTTCGTTTTCCTCTTGAGAACTTTCTGGTGCAATGCAGAAGGTTTACTTTTATGCTCTGGAAATGCTGAAAGTGTAGCAGTATCATGCACCTTTGAATGACTTGGGGAGCATGCACTTGTAACTGTTGAACTTCTTTTGCTTGGAGTTCCAGTTTTCGACAAATTCCCATGTACCACATTCCTTGTTTTCACTTTAGTATCCTTTATCATATTCCTCCTACTAAGATATGTAACTGATGAATCAGGTGGTGAAGTTGCATGTAGAATTTTATGTCCATCTAGAATGATTTCACTATCAACAGAGAAGAGGCATATGTCACACTTATAGAAGAAATCGTCACAATGCAGTTCCTGATGTTTAACTACAGCAGCCAGCTGGGGTGCCTTATATGGACATATCTCACACTGTATTTTATCAGCATGATGGGTAGCCATGTGCTTCTCATAATGATCAACTCCAACTACGCTGATCTTACAGATTCTACAATGCATCAGTCCATCATTCTTTATATGTTTTTTCTTGTGAGTTATCAGCTCTTTTATGGAGCTCAATGGCAGGCCACATTGGTAGCAAGAGGGAGAAACTGTTGCCTGTTCTACGGGCGGTGTTTCACAGTGTATTTGTTGATGTTCCAAGAGATGTTCTTCACTACTACAGTAGTAAACACATTTATTACATTTATGTGTCTTACATGTTCCATCCTGGGTCCAATGTTTCTCCAACTCTGATACTGACTGAACTTTGAAATTACATTCTTCACATCGAAATCCAGCACTTATGTCAATTCTCACAATATGTTCAGATACAGCATCTCCGTGTTTAATGTGTATATGCCGGTTAAGCTGTGTCTGTGATTCGAACAGCAATGTGCATTTCGCACATGCTATAGTCTTTAGAGAAGTGTGATTCATTTCCATATGCAGATGAAATTTGTCTTGCACCATTGTACAGTATGTACAGAAATCACATTCATAAACAGGGGCATAATGCTTGACAAAATGTCGACGCAGATTATGCCGGTATGAGGTACCATAGTTGCATTTTTCACATCGAAAAGGCTTTTTGCTTTGATGATTTGACTGTAAATGTTTTTCATAAGACCACCTCTCAGTTGTGGAGAAGCTGCAGTGTTTACATTTGTACAACTGGCCAGTCCTGTGCTGCTGTTCATGCTTAATCATTCGGTAGGGTGATCTGGTAGAGTATGGGCAGAACGGACACTCTATGCTTCGTCTGTGAGAAGATTTAGTGTGTGTCAAATATTTTTTGAGTGAGTAACTTCTAAATGAACAGTATGAACATTTGTGAAACTTCTGATGTTTAGCTCTCACATGAAGGTGGAGAGATTTCTCTGAGGTGGCAAGGAAGTTGCACTGGCTACATGGGTGTTTTGGTTTTGTTATATTCGTTGCAGCTGAAGTGATCGAGTCCTTCTCCGGTGCTACCTTAGCAGTTAGTGAGTGTTTTGTTTCAACCAGATGAGCTATCAAAAGTGATTCTTTGTCAGTGGTGAACGGACATTCTTTACATCCATATTTATGCAGCGTACCAATATGTTCAAATAATTCCTCTTTGTCTTTGGATACAAAGCTGCAAAAGTTGCACAATAAACCTATGGTGTTTACATGAACTTTCTCATGGTCCAGAAACTCTGACTTATCATGAGTACTGAAGGTGCACATGTTACATTGAAGATCCAAGTCCATACTGTGTTTTTTCTCATGCAACTCTCTTAGATAGTTGATGGAAAATGCTGCTGGACATTTACTGCACACAAATTTCTTCTCATTGTGAAGATGCAACACGTGTGTCACTAATGCACCGTTGTTTAAAAACTCTTTTCCACAATATGTACACCAGCATGGACCTTTATTTGGAGACTTTGTGTCATTTACCTTTTTGGGGTTTTTCACAGCATCAGGATTCGCTACGGATTTAGCATCAGGATATTCCACGGACTTAGCATCAGGATACACCACGGACTTAGCATCAGGATACTCCACGGATTTAGCATCAGGATACACCACAGATTTACAAGGCTTTTCTGTTTCGATAGTTGACATTTTTCTTTTATCACATTTGTGATATTTCATGTGTCTAGCATATGCAATCAGAGTATCTGCATAAAAAGAACAAAGCTTACATGGGTAGAACTTCCTAGAGCTAGCACCTGTTTGGGCTGACCCTTTATGTGTTCGCATGTGCCCTGCATATGCATGATGGCCAACTGAAGAAAATGAACATAACAAGCACTGGTAGGTTCTAAGTGAACTCTTGAGTGAGTGAACAGATGTCTTCTTTCTCCGTGTTTTAAAGCCAGTTTCTTTCACAAATGCAGTTTTTGTTGAAGATGAATTTACTTCCTTCACAGTTGTAGTTTCTGTTGGAGATGAATTTACTTCCTTCACAGTTGTAGTTTCTGTTGGAGATGAATTTACTTCCTTCACAGTTGTAGTTTCTGTTGGAGATGAATTTACTTCCTTTACAGTTGTAGTTTCTGTTGGAGATGAATTTACTTCCTTCACAGTTGTAGTTTCTGTTGGAGATGAATTTATTTTCTTCACAATTGCAGTTTCCATTGGTGATACATTTATTTTTTTTACAATTCCAGTTTCCACTGGAGTTGAATTTACTTCCTTCACAATTGCAGTTTCTGTTGGAGGTGAATTATTATTACTTGCTATCAGCACATTTCCTTTCTTGACAGGAGACTCATTGTAATTTTTTTTATGGATCCTCATATGACCAGCATATGCCACTTGAATCACTGTCGAAAATGAACACTCTGTGCAATTATATACTTTGCCGGAATGGTTTGCGATATGTCGCTGGTAACTATGATTTGTATAAAACCCTTTATCACAAACTTCACAATAGTATGAATAGTATTTCATCTTCTCTTCTCTGTTTTTAAAAATCTTCGGTTTGATCCAAAGCTTCTCAATAACAGCGTCCGTAACAATCTCATTTGTGCTCACTTTATTTTGACGATTCAATTGATGTACATTGCTCATGTGCCTCTGTACAGTGTCAAAATCCCTGAACCGAAGTGGACAGAACTCGCATAGAAATGGACAGACAGAAATGCTATTAGAAGAACTAACATCACTTGAGATAAGATCAGCAGATAAACTGTTTTTATCTGCAGAACTTGTAATGTCAAAACTTGCTTCAGATGAATCTTCAGTTTTATGTAGAGGTATTTTCCTCACTTCCTGTGCATTTGTCAACTCACTATCCTCATCTATGTCAATGCATACAACGGTAGATGGCAAATTACTGTGCATCGTCTCAAGATGTTCCTTCAACCGTGAATGATAAGGAAAGCTCTCACAACACACTTTACATATAAACATCACTTTGTTGGTTTGGGGATCTGTCTTCACCCTTACCAACTCGGACACTAGTATTTTGCCAAAGTCAGTACGTATGTTTTTTCTCGTAACACGTTTAGGACTCTGTTCAACAACTGGTTCTTCGTTTACAGGTGTATCTAGAGTATGTACTTCAAGACTCTTTTTAACAGTTACTTCTTCTATTTGAGGTTCATCTTGTATGTTCTCCTTAACTAGTTTAATACATGATTGTACTACTGGTTCTACTTTTTCTGGTGAATCTAAACAGATGAGTTCTGGAGAACTGGTATGATCAACCTTTGCTGGACAAGGTTTACTTTTACCCCCACCAGAGTCAAGATCTTTTATACCACTATCCACACCAATGACAATTACATCTTCTGAATCTCCAGGATCATCCATCAAAAGACTTTCTCTCTTCCGTTCTGGCATATCAATTATTACGCAATCATTTTTATCATCATCATCATCATCATCATCATCTTGAATTGAAACAGGTGGCACATTTATGGGTTGTGATGATTTTTCAACAACTGCATCTATTGCAATACTACTCTCTATCAGGTCACCATTATCTTTGAAAACATCAGATGTTTGCAACTCTTTCTGGTTTGAGATTTCCCTAACAGTGGATTTAGTCTGATTTGTGCTGCTATCTGTTTTAGGTTTAACAGTGAAAGGTTGTAAGACATGGTCCAACATGGGTAAAACCAGTTTTTTTACAGCACCAGCTATGTCTTCATCTTTCACTGTACATTTGGGAATCTGCAACTTAATTTCTTTGTGGTACACCTTGCTTTCACCTTCTTTTTTGATGGGTATTTTTACTGTGATGTTGAATATAGAAGTAAGTTTTTTCACATGTATTACAGTTCCCTGAGGGAAGCTTTTTCTTTCTGCCATTGGTTGTACATTATGCTTTATACAAGACGAAGATGACAGATCTTTGAATCCTGACGTGTTTTCTGTACAAGTTTGATCATTTGTAATGTTTTTTCCAAATTTACTTACAGGTGGTACACCTAATGATAGTGTGTGAACATCATGCTTACAAGTATCTTTGTCAGTGGATCCTGCTTTCTTTGAATTGTTGATCTTGGCTATAAAACCTGATTGCTCCACCTTACCTTTCTCTGGTAATTTGTTAGATCCATGTTTTGAGTCTTGCGTAATTTGACTGTCTGGCTTACAGATTATGACAGATTCATTAGAGTCATGGCATGAAGGAGCTGTACTAGATACAGAAGTCTTCATAGCAAGTTGTGACATACTTCCTCTAGAGTGAGACAATGAGGGACTGCTTGAAACTTTTGTAGCTGACGATAACTTCTTGGTTGCTGAAGGCTCATCAGATAATTTAGTCTCAGGTTTTTGTGATTCAATTTTTGAATCAGTTAGCATCTCAGTTGATGTTGAAGAGCTTTCCAACAGTTTAACATTAGAATTTGCAGATGTGCTTCTGCAGATTTTAGTTGTTTTATAAAATGGAGAAACAAGAGGAATTATCGGTGAGCTTCTGCCAGAGGCTGATGTCCCATCAGAAGAAGAATTAGACGAGTTACTATGACTACATTCTTTTAAGCAATTTAAAGAATCATCCACATCAACAGTTACACTCGTAGCCTGCAAAATCTTTGCTTCACCTACGTTTGCTATTTTCTCACTGGCAGAGGGTTCGTCTATCGCATGTGAGCTGCATCTCTCAGCTGTTGGTGTATCATTGTCTGGCAGCTTTGTACTTTCAGTGTGAGAAGGAGGATGTTCTATAGACAATTTTGAATTTAATTCTTTGTCAGGAAATTGTTTTGCTTCCTCATGACAAATCTTTTTCTTTTCTGGATCTTTCAAACTACAATGTTTAACTTGGGATATCTTGGCAGTCAGTGTCTCTCCAGAAGTTGCTTCAACACTCCTCTCAATAACATGCTCTGTAGCTGCACAATCTTGTGCAATACCAACTGACGAACTATGAACTTGGAAAGAAGTAACTGATGCTGCAGATGAATTACTGCTTCCCAGAAGGGGTGGAGTAATAGTAGCAGGAACTGGCAATTCCTGCTGAATTGATTCCTTTTGTACGTTGCTTGCTTCTTTCTTGCGCCGCCTTCTTTTTTTTTCAGGCACAGTGTCTTTTATGATGATTATTACTTCAGTGGTGGTAATTTCCTGACTGCCTGAATGCATTTGTAATCCATCAGGGATATCAACACCAGGCATCAATAGTTGTTCACCAGAATTTGCATCTTGGTGACCTACTGGGACCCTGTCTTCTAGTCCTTGGAGATCGCTCTGCGAAACCAGAGATCCAGATGATGCATCTAGTGATGGAGTTTTTGATTTACGCATCAGAATGGCTGGCTTTCTTCTACTTCTCCCATCAGCCATCTTACTTGCTAACATATACAGTTCAATTCAGAATCACAGAATCTGCTGTAAAAGAGAACGAATAATTAGGGTATGAGTGTAAATAGATTGTACATTTAACAAGCAGCCTGTCGGCTGAGATAGCTCCGCTGTTAGCAATGCACATTTCAATTAAAGAACAGAAGACATCATTAGAAAATGAACAATATGTATAGTATCAAAGCAATCGGACTTGCAGTTTTTAACAATAAGTCGAAAATATCACTTTCTACCAAAAATGACAAAAATATTCACCAAAATTAGAGAATTGAAGATATCATCAGGAAATGAACAAATCTGAGAAAGGTCTACATGTAGTATCTATATATGTAATATCAAAGCAAATGAACTTTTGGTTTTTAACAAGAAGTCGAAAATATCACTTTTTACCAAAAATTACAAAAATATTCACCAAAATTAGAGAATTGAAGATATCATCACAAAATGAACAAATCTGAGAGAGGTCCACATGTAGTACCTATATATATAATATCAAAGCAATCGGACTTACAGTTTTTAACAAGAAGTCGAAAATATCACTTTTTACCAAAATGACAAAAA